CCCCCACCTTTTTTTTCTTTTTCTCTTGCACACTCCTGTTTCATGTATATATTTTTTTCTTGTTACTTTTTTTTACAAAAATCAAGGTTTGAAGATGAAGCAAAGGAAAGAACAGAGGGGAGGGGACAAGATGGGAGGGAAAGAAAGGGGAAGAAAAAAGACAGTAAAAGGCAAGGAGAGTGAGTGACGGCTTCAGCAGCATTCTGCAAGGAAGTAAGAGGCGTTGAGAGCAACGATGAGCACGATGGAGACGGAGAAGAACACGGTGAGGATGGCGAGACCTTGGTGTAAGGTGAAAAGGGGAAGGGAGGAGGAGGAGAGATAAAATTCGGTAGAGTGGAGGAAAACAGATTAACATAAGAAGTCTTTTGGTGCTGTAGGATGGAGGCGGTGGGGAGGGGCCGCGCGGTATGACAGCATGGGAGGGTGAGTAGAAGAGTCTGGGAGTGGTGGCCCGCCTGATATGAATGAGCTGAGCGTCGCAAGCCCCCCTCCCCTCGTAGTCTCAACACTTTCTCCCCTTCCAGCGCCAAAAGAGAGGGGAAAGATAAAAGAGGGGGGGGGGCTGAAGATGGGGTCGAGGTTTGGAAGAAAGAGACGAGCGATAAAAAGTGACATGCAGGTCTCGCGGGAAATAAAAATGCTTTGAGGTGTTGGGATACGCGTAAATTTGTTTGTTTGTTCGTTTGTTGTATGAGTCACAGAGAAGCACGAAGACACAATAACTGATTGAAAAAAAGCAAGACAAACAGAAACAACAAATCAAAAGAAAAAAAAGAAAGTACGTCCTAATAGTAGCACCCTCCAATCACCCGCTCATTCAGCGTTGGGAGCAACAACAACAAAATAAATAAAAAGACGAAGAGAACCAACAGAAGGAAAGTAAAACAGTAGTGCCTGCCGGTTGCGCCCTCCTACCACCCATTGGCGAACACATACACCCATTAGATTTCATGAAACTGATCCCATTGGCCAGAGAAGCTGTCCGTAAATTCTTGTTCTCAGGTCCCCTATACACTGAGCGACCATTTCCGACAAGATTTGAAGCCAGAGCGAAGAATGGGAACACAACAACAGTCTAAACAATGTTGAGAATTTTGACAATGTGCGTTTCCTTGGGTGAAGAGAAGCACATCGACGGAAAAATTATCGTTTGGTGCCAGGAACAAAATGAGAAACAGACAGACAGAAACATTAACTGGAGAAAAAGAAGAATATACGAGTTGAGCCCTCGAACCACCCGCAAATCTGAGTAAAAGAGAAGCACATTGACAATGTAACAGTTATTTGGCGCATGGTTAAAAGTAACACATAAAGACAGAAAACAAAAAGGATTGTAAAGAAGGACTAAAACGAGGCGTCCTTTACAGACAAGCTTTCCAAAAAGCACTAGATTCTAGACGTTGCTGAAATCATAAAGATCCATAATTATTCTTTGCTCACGTTAAAATGAACTATTACATAAATTTACTTTAATCGCACGCCCTTCCAGCGGTGACGCGCTTCGACCTGCACGAGTCGCCAAATCGTTTAGGTAGCTACGCAGAGGCGCGGTGTTATCTGCTGTGGCAGGCACTCCGGTTCTGATTCATCTTAAAGTGAAAGTTGGCGAATGAGTGAGTCATTTACGCCTTCCATGAGCAGCCAATGAGCGAAAAAAGAGCAACAATCCCACGTCTTAGTAAGCAGCATTAATTACGGAGTGTAATTAAGTCATGTGAGTCTGTCCGCAAGTACGTGTATACCTATGAGCGTCTGAGAGCGCACGCGCGCGCGTGTGTGTGTGTGAGAGAGAGAGTGTGTGTGAGTATGTGTGTATATGTGTGTGTGTGTGTGTGTGTGTGTGTGT